TCCACCCCAGCTGTTGCCAGGCACAAAGCTGGCTCTCCATGCGACCCTGTGTGTCCGTTAACCAGCAGTGCGGGGCTCTCCTACCAGGGCCCCAGCGACCCTTGCAGATGAACTGTGCAAATCGGGGGGGAAATGCCAGTTCCGGATCCTCTCAGGCTTGGCTCTGTGCTCTATCAATCCAGCTTTAGATGATGAATTAATGAATTTCCCACGTGGCCGAAGGCACCGAGGCGCCATCACCACGGGGCCTAATCCTAACGCATTTTTAACTTTCCACCTTTTAACCAGGCACCAAGGAGAAAAGATCAACTTGAAAAGATTCCCTGGATGGGCTCACAGGAAGCCAGAAGGATGAGTGCCACTTTCTTTGAGAGGCTAAAGGCACTGGGAGAAGAGTTGTTAAAAGTACCAACGTGGAGTCCAGGCCCCCTTGGCTGTGGCTGAGGCCAGCTGTGGTCCCCTCAGGACAGCTTGTGGCCCACCTGGTCCTCTCTACGCTCCTGAGGAGAGTCCAGCAGTTGCACAGCATATGAGCTATCTGGTCCTGGAAAGAACAGGGACAAGGACAAGGATTTGGTCTTCTATGACCTTGCCATGTGACCTTGGGCAAGTCACTGAACCCTTCATATTCCTCCCCTATGTAATGAAGAGATTGAGCTGCATGATCTCTAATGTCCCTGTGAATGTTGATATCCTATTATTCCTATTATTCTATTAATTAAGAGCAACTTGATGCTCTCACACTGTGACAGACACGGTGATGGGCGCCCAGATGACCCTTCGGTGAAGACCTTATTGCCCAGCAGTTGAGAGTGTCATTAGGAGGAATCGCCTCAAGCGACAGAGAGCTGCCTTGCCAGGGTCTCAGCCCCTCCTGGGACAGCTCACACCCGTGGATGTGGAGTTCAAAGGCCTGGCCTTTTCACCCCTGCAGACACTACACCAAAGGGCGTTCTAGCTCCAGAGTGCTCCATGTGCTTGGCCAAGGCTTTCATTGGGCCTCAACTTCTCCCTCTGCCCAATGGTGCTTCAGCCCCTTCCTTCCTCAATGTTCTTCCCACAGATCGTCCTTATCAAGCAGCCCACATGCTAACCCCCTTCTCCAAGTCAGCTTCCTAGGAAACCCAGCTTGCCATGCCCACTTCCGTAGACTCCAATTTGAGCCTCTGACTGCACCTCCACCCAGTCCTCCTCCCTCATTTTACAAACAAGGAAATGAAGGCTCGGAGAATGACTTGCCAAGTTCACTCCGTTGGCAGAACTGGAGCTAACGCCTCAGTTTCCAAGTCCCAGCCGTGTCCTCTTTCTATCACACCTCACTGCCTTCCCCAGCTTATCCCATTTTCCTTGCATGGTGGATAGAGATGTGTAGGCAGAAAGATAAATCCATTTATCCATCCGTCTCTACTGCAAGGAAGAATAATAAGCAAATGCATGAATTCATGAGTTATTCACTGCCTCTACTTTAAATAAATAAACCATCGGTTTTCGTTTGAGGATTTTTTTAACCTCCTTGAGAAGCCAGATCACGTAAAGATACAACAAGCTCTGGATTACGAATCAGGAAACGAGTTTTAGTCTCAGCTCCTCACTCTTGCATTGCAAATATGCTGCTGCTTGATGGTACGCTCTTGCAGATTCCAAGACTGATTGCTGGGGGGTTGGGGCTGGGATTAAGTGGTAGGGAGGAGGTTAATCATGTTGTGGAATAATAACCCGTGATGATGCTTATGTAAGATGTTGTCATTGGTGGAAGCTGGGTGAAAGGTACACAGGAACTTTCAGTATTATTTTTGCAATTTCTTGTAGTTTAAACTATTTCAAAAGAAAACGTTTAAAAATAATAATAACCAAATGATGGTTTCATTTAGTCTAAGAGGGAATGGATGACTTGAGGTGGGATGTAGGGGAAGGAATGGGCAGGTTACAGAACATATTCAGAGTACCTAACTGCAAGGCCAGTGTATTCTGAACGTCACTCAGTGAGACGGAGGGTAAAGAAGATTGTTGCACCAGGCATGTGTTTTTAAAAGCATGTGCTCCATGACTGAAAAACCTAAGGACTGAACTCTTGAAGCCTTGAAAAATGTCTTCTACAGCACCTGCTTTCCTGTTTGGGTTAAATCTCCCCAGTGAGTCTCAGCTGCCTCGAGGGCTGTCAACCCCCAAGTCTGACCAACTCTCTCATTTTACAGGTGAAAAAAGTGAAGCCCTGAGAGGTAAACAGCTGGTGCAGGTTTCCCAGAGAGTGGCTGATATAATATAATAAAAGCAGACAATTCCAAGTTATAAGTGGACTCCTGGCCAATGGTTTGTAGAGCGACTTGTCCTGTTCCCAGAGCCTAGAGTGGGAGGAGCAGAAGCCATGCACAGCTAGGATCCCTGCCCTGTGGAATTGAAACCGGGGGCCAACTTGCTTTAACTATACTCAGTTGTCAGTTCGCAGAAGTAGTTAGATAATGGATTACTAAAACCTACCCTTTAGATAACGTCTCTGACACTTGGGTCACCACGGTAACAGGTGCTTGAGTTTTTCAGGAACTGAGAGTTGACTCCTTGTCCAGTTCAGGCTGGTTAAGATGGCTGACTATCAACTGGCCCTGTGCGGATGACCAATAGGTGACCCTTTGACGTCAAGGAGCTGAAAACTCCACCCTCGCATTATGGTAACGCTGCTATTTTGTGAACATGCGTCCTATGAAGAGCCATAAAGCTTGACTACACTTGCGCAGATCGTCAGTTACCTCGCTTCTCCTTACCTCCAATCCTCTATTCTCACACCTCAGACTACCCCACGCCCTTATCCCATAAGTATCCCTAATCCTCATTTTTGGGGGAGGGAGATTTGAGATTTAGTCTCCCGTCTCCTTGTGTGGCTGTCTTGTGAATAAACCCTTTCTCTGCTGCAAACTTGTCCTCTCGGTGATTGGCATAATCATGCAGGAGGCAAAACAAACCTGGCTTGGTAACAGAATGGCGTCAGGGACTGCCTTCTTCCAGCCCACAGACTCCAGCCAAGAGCCACCAACAGCACAGTCAGGCAGGCCTTCCCAGGCAGTCTCCTAAGAAAGGATCCTGAAGGCAAGAGCTGTCCACGAATCAGTCAAGAATTGAGCATTTTCAGTTTTGAAACTAAACTACATTCCATGGTACTGTCAACTATAAATCAAATGTCACCTTAAAAAGAAAAAGAAACTAATCAACTAAATGGAGACAGCTGCCTCCTATCACAATGTCATGCCATAAAATGTCCATTTCTTCTCTAAGTTCTAATTTTCTGCTAGGAAACATGAAATGTTTTTGCAGTTACAAGACGCAAGTACTAACCCAAACTGCTATTGATTCAAAATGTATGTTATCTCAGTGGTGTTTAATGTCCAGTAGAATAGCAATGAACTCTTATTTCACATTTCAAAGTCCAAAGTCATAAGGAGGACAGTTTGAGGTTTTATCCATGTACAATGTGAAGGCATATGTATGTTAATTACTTTTTTATTGAAGTATACCTTATATACTATCAAGTGTACAAAACTGATTAATTTTTATATATTATATACCTGATTACCACCACCCTGACCAAGATAGAGAACTTTTCCAGCACCACAGAAGTTTCCTAGAGTGCACAAATATTTAAACAACATTTAAATATTATGCAAATTGAAGGCTCCAGCCTGGAAACCCTAAACTAACATTTGCAGGGAGATGCCTTTTCTCTCTTCTTCATGGTCGAATCAAGCACCAAGTATCAGCTTTTATTCCATTTTTTCCAATGGGAAATTTCCTTCAACTCTAAAGTCAGGATTTAATAACACACAAAGCTGCTGTCAACCCAGGATTTTGGATTTGACTTGACCAACCTTCTTCATTCTAGGTCACCTTTAAAAATCCTTCATTCTTAGAATCTTCTACCCGGAGAGTTTCCTCTGTGAGGGGCATGGGGACCTACTCTTCGATTTGGAAACTTATCTATATCTTCCAAAATTCAATTCTTAGTTCCGACAAGGAGGTCAATGGCTTCCCCCACCTCCCAAAAGCACAGCCTCACATCCTTCCCACCGTTCCACCAGGGCCTGGTTAGCTGATGAACTGAGTCACTCTGTATTGAGGACATTTTTAAATAAGACACTTGAAACTGTGGGCTGGGTTGAGGCCTTTAGAATCAGATAGGGTCAGGACCCCAGGTGGTGACCTTTGACTAATGGAAGAAAGAAGATAATAAATACAAGGCATCATTTCTCAGAGGATCCAACCATTCTTTGTAATCTGTAAGCCTATCTAGCTCCCCTTGCTATCAAGCATCAGTGATTATAAGAAACCCCTCCATGAGGCTACAGGTGTAAGTAGAGGGGGAGGCAATGGTACAATAGAGGCAAGTTGCCTGGGAATCAGGGCTGCCAGTTCATGTAACTTACTTGTGCCCTCTGTGCCTCTGCATGTGCAATCCAAAATCTACCATTTCTTTTAGATGATTGCTGTGTGTCTGTCTAATCTTATGATTTGGTGCATGCCATACTGCCCAACTTTTGATTGGCAGTTCAAGTCACATAGTCACTTGATGGTTCATGGCAGGTGCTCAGGCTCCACTAGGGCCTAGTAGCACACAAAGTAGCATCCATTTACTTTTCCAATGGTGAGTAAATCTCTGCTACAGAAGGCACGACCTTGCTCCAGAACCCTAGGGCTCTATGCTGTGATTTTCCTATTAGAATTTTCCAAGGACTCTACAGTAGATAAGCTTCCTTATCTACTGTGGATACCTCTAGCACTATTGGATCTGCTGGGTCTTATGACCCAAGTGGCAGAACAGCTCGCCAAAAGCTTGGACCTGCTGCAGAGCCTTCTTAAAACTGACAGGATTCCGAGTCACTCAGTCAAAGGGTAAGAACAGTATTCCCAAATATGTTAAATGCAGCCTCCAAAACTGAAAGAGGCACACTAGATATAGTATCTCTTACTTGGTAGTAGGAGATGCAAGGGAAAAATAAGTCATCCTTTACAACTTACTGGGACTGTCCTTGCATGCCCACATCATCGGGTCCCTGAACACTTCATTAACGCTGTGGATGCCAGGAATTGTTACCAGCCTGCGTACCACCAGCACCAGGGTCCTTATCACTGTCTGACCAGTGAATGAACCAGGGTTCTTCTCTCTAGCGTCACTTCTAGAACCAAGTGTCAGCCTAGATTTCCCCAGAAAGCAGAGCCTGAGACACGGCTTACATGCAGGAAATTTATTTGTGGAAATGATCCTAGGGAACAGGAATGGGGACTGGGAAGAGTGAAATAGGGAGAGAAGGAAAGCCAACCCTTCAACTATCGAGCTTGCCCTAACCGCGGGCAGCTAAGGCTAGATCCCACTCTGGACACTGTGTTAGCTTCCTGTGGCCGCTGTAACAAACCACCAAAACTTGTTGGCTTAAGACAACAGAAATTTATTCTTTCCAGTTCTATAGGCTAGAAATCTGAAATCAAGGTGTCAGCCGGGCCACACTCCCTCTGAAGGCTCTAGAGAAGAATCCTTCTTTGCCTCTCCCAGCCTCTTGGGGCTATTGGCATTCCTTGGCTTGTGGCTGTATCTCTCTCTGTTCTGTCTTCATATCACCTTCTCCTCTGTGTGTCTGTGTCTTCTCTTCTGTCTGTCTCAAATTTTCCTCTGCCTCAGTCTTAAAAAAACACTTGTCATTGGATGTAGAGCCACTCAGATAATCCAGGATAATCTCCTCATCTCAAAATCCGTAATTTAATCACATCTGCAAAGACCCTTTTTCCAAACAAAATAACATTCATAGGTTCTATAAATTTGATATGGATCTCTTTGGGCGGGCCATTTTTTCGCCTAGCACAGACACCTGAGGAGTTCTGTGGAATGCACCTCAGAATTGCCTGCCTGAGGGAAAAAAGAGGAGAGAATTAATCCCCTAGCTCCCAAGCCCCATTGGTCAAGGATTGCTACATGCGTGTTAACCACTTTGAACTTCCAGATTGTATATGCATGTGTGAGTGCCAGCTGGGGTCCAGCAGGCATTCCACGCAGCGGCATCAGAAATCCTGAGCGAAAGTGAGCGGCAGAGCTGAGGGGGGCTGCTGTCAGGTTACACCTGCCTGAAGCAGGTAGCTGCAGCAAAGTTTGGCATAAAAGGTGAGCTGAAGCACAAGGAACAAAAGAAAAAGTAAATGGGGCTACATCAAAAGTAAAAACTCCTGTACATTGAAAGACACAATCAACAGAGTGAAAAGGCAACCCACGAAATGAGAGAAAATATTTACAAATCATATATGTGATAAGCGGTTAATATCCAGAATATATAAAGAACTCCTACAACTCTAGGAAAGAAAAACCAACTGGATGAAAAAATAGGCAAAGGAGTTAAATAGACATTTTTCCAAAGAAGATATACAAATGGCCAATAAGCACATGAAAAGATACTCAACATCACTAATTTTTAGGGGAATGCAAATCAAACTACAATGAGATACCATCTCATACCCATTAGGATGGCTACTGTCAGATTTAAAAAAAAAACCATAAAATAACAAGTGTTGGCAAGGATGTAGAGAAATTAGAATGCTTGCGAACATAAAATGGTGCAGTTGCAATGGAAAATAGTGTGGCAGTTCCTCAAAAAATTACAGATAGAACTACCATATGATATAACAATACTACTTCTGGATATATACCCAAAAGAATGGAAAGCAGGGTTTCAAAGAGATACTTGTATACCTGCGTTCACAACAGAGTTATTCACTATGGCCAAAAGATGGAAGCAACCCAAGTGTCCATCAACAGATGAATGGATAAACAAAATGTGGTGTATACATACAATGGAATATTATTCAGCCTTACAAAGGAAAGAAATTCTGATACATGCTACAACATGGATGAACCTTGAGGACATTATGCTATACGAAAGAAGCCAGTCACAAAAGGACAAATACTGTATGATTCCACTTATATAAGGTACCTAGAGTAGTCAGATTCATAGACAGAATAGAATGGAGGTTGCCAGGGGTGGAGGGAAGGAAGAACAGGGAGTTATTGTTTAATGGGTTTGAAGTTTCAGTTGGGAAGATGAAAAAAGTTCTAGAGATGGATGATGGTGATGGTGGCACAGTAGGTGATTATACTTAATGCCACACTGAACTGTACACCTAAAAATGGTTAAGAGGGTAAATTTTATGTTACGTGTTTGTTGGTGGTGCCATCAAGTCGATTCCAACTCCTAGTGACCCTGTGTACAACTGAGCGGAATCCTGCCTCGTCTTTTTGCACCATCATCTCACCTTCTGGCACTATATCTAACAATGTTCCACTGCTATTCATAGGGTTTCCATGGCCAATTTTTTGGAAGTGGGTGGCCAGGTCCTTCTTCCCAGTCTATCTTAGTCTGGAAGCTCCACTGAAACCTGTCCACCATGGGTGACCCTGCTGGTATTTGAAATACCAGTGACATAGCTTTCAGCATCACAGTAACATGAAGCCACCACAGTATGACAATCAACAGATGGGTGGTGTGGTTCCCTGACCAGAAACAAACCTGGGCCGCAACAGGGAGAGCACTGAATCTTAACCACTAGACCACCAGGGTTGGCTGTTATGTGTATTTTACCATGATTTAAAAAAATTTTTTTAATAAATTTTTTGTGTGTGTGTGAGGAAGATCAGCCCTGAGCTAACATCCATGCCAATCCTCCTCTTTTTGCTGAGGAAGACTGGCCCTGAGCTAACATCCATGCCAATCTTCCTCCACTTTATGTGGGATGCCGCCACAGCATGGCCTGACAAGTGGTGCGTCAGTGCGCACCAGGGATCAGAGCCCGGGCCGCCAGCAGCGGAGCACAAGCACTTAATCGCTGTGCCACAGGGCCGGCCCCTAATAAATTTTTTTAAAAGGTAGACTGAAAAGATGTGAGGTGGGGCACAAGAGGTATCTGGTACCTCTATAACAACCTACATTATGTCCTTCCATTTTGTTTCTTAATATTAATAAAATCTTGTAAAGACCATATTAAACAACTCCTCTACGTATACATATATACTAAAATATATGGGGGGTTATGTTGTTGTACAAAAATGGGATCCAATTTCATATACATTCTTACATCTTTTATTTGTAACTTAAATCCTTCCAAGTCATCTGAAACAGTTCTAATTCATTCTTTCTAATATCTGCATATTTTTTCACGCTGTGAATATATCACAATTTATTCAGCCAATTTCTTCTCATGATGGGAAATCAGTTTATTTCCAGTTCTTCAATACTAAAACTCATCTGCAACACACACTCTTATGCATGTTTCTGCTGGCCTAGTGTTGGGCTCTATGGAGAGAGGAGTTCAAAGCTGAAAGTCATAAGGACTTTGTGGGACTGGATGCAAGCAGTGAGGCTTCAGGGCCTCAATGATAAGACACAAGAGCTCACCGTCGACCACACTGCAACCTTGTCATCAGAGCACACAGGCAAGTGTTCTAGGAATGGTGTGCTAAGCAGAGCACACTCTTGCAGGGCCACCAGCAGCAGAGGCAGGACATGAGCAGACGTGTCCCTGAGCACAGGTGAGGCACCCTTGGAGACTTCCAGAAATCACTGGGGGGACTGTGCCCAAGCTTTCCACAGTCGCCTCATGACCATTTGTACCATCAGGTTGTTGCAGCTGGGGAACATCTGGGTTGAACAGTGAAGGCTTTCATAATCCTTTTCAAGGTAACCATGATGCACATCCTTGCTCTGAGAAATTCAAGGGATTTTGGACTCTTGAAATCACTGCTAGGATTCTACATTTTGCAGAGCAAGCTAGAGAATTGCATAAGCTGCTTTATTTCTCCTTAACAGTAAAAGTAAGATAAATCTGGCAGGAGAGGACGCTGGGGATGTAAATGGCAAGTGTCAGAATGATAAAAGATTCCATAAAGCATGTGGTATAAATAAGAGATAGAGAGAAGAATTTGGAGACTTTATCCATTGACTCTTAATTCTCCACTTTATTATCATCCATTTAAAATTAAATTCTCCATGAAGGACTTCCAATGGAGGAACTATGTCCAGATGACCCTGCCCAGGGACCCACTCCACCCAAGCACATCAATCGCCTGGATTTATTCTTAAGCTCACAATATTTCAGTAGCCAGTAGAAGAGTGGGTAAGTGCTCACTCTAGGAACACTGTCTGGATTACTGCTAAGTTATTTACATAATAATTTCCATGGATCTGTATGCTATTTCCACATGATTCCGCTCTTCTTATACCTTCAGATATAATTACAACATTTTAGATATCTTTAAAACTCGTAGAATGAAAAAAAAGATAAGGCAGAGCGAGAGAGAGAGAAATAATTAATTTCTGAAATGGCCACAGAGTTCCTGCCCCACCATCTGCTCTGCTGTCTTTGCTGCCTCTTTCTTTCAACTTGAGGCTTGCATCCGATCCCCAGGGCTGTGTGATGTTTACAGGATAGAGTACAGTCTCCCCTGCCAGGTCTTCAAGCCCAGCCTCAACCGCACCCTCTGATTTGATTTCCTGCTGCCCCGCACCCAAGTATAAACTCACCTCAACCATGCCCACATCTCCTCTTGTTATTTCACATTGTAAGCATTTCCTGTGTCTGAGTTTCATACTTGCTGTTCCCACTGTGATGCTATTTTGTTTCTGCCAATCAAGGTTCCTCTTCCTTCAGGATCCTGCTTAAACCCCACCTCTTCCAAGAATGTAGCTAAGAATGTAAGCTCTCCATGGGGAGGGACTTTTTGGTCTATTTTGTTCACTGAATATATGCCCATGGAGCCTGACACATAGTAACTGCTAAATAAATATTTGCCAAATAGTCTACTCCTGACTCAGTCCATCTCACAACCCACCAACTGTGGGGACATCTGTTCCTCTCATTACCTGTACTTAGATCCTGCATCGATCAGGCAACTGTTGCACATTTTGTCATCTTGTCTTCCTTGTAGATGGAAGGATCCTAGAGGGTAAGAATCTCTTCCTTTGAGCTGTCTGTCATTCACTATCACATTATTCAGTTATGCTGTCGGCTGCATACTTTACTTTTAAATTCTGCAGCATCAACAGTGTAATAAATATATATGTTAATTTTCATCTTCTCCACCGCCAGGGACAGGGGTTAGTTAGTTTGAAATCTCTAATCAGGCATCAACACACCAGAAGCCTTCAACCACCATTATATCCAATCAACACTAGAAGGTTTCCTGGGAGCTTAGGGGACACTAGAAAGTACTTTTCATCACTGAAATGCATAGTGTTCAAGGTACATGGATTGCCTACCAATGTTATTCAGGCACCTCTGTCTTTGCTGACACAGAGCACCAGCATCTGTCTCTCAGAAAACTGCAACAGCTTCCTAGCTCCATGCCCTGACTCCCGCTCTCCTGTGTAGGCTCCAAGGAAACTATTCAATCCAGTCTTCATCATGCAAAGTGATATTTCTAAAACATAAAGCTAATTGTTTCTCACTCACTCTCTCAAAGCTCTTCAGTGGCCTCTGCGCAATGCACAGCAGCTGAAGAATTTCAAGACCACTGAGGTTCCATCCCCTGCATATCTCTCTAGCCTCATCTTTCCTCATCCACTCCCCACTTCACCTCCCCCACCACACACACATACACACAACCATTTTATTCTGCACACACTTAGACAGCTCACACTGTCAGGTGAACCAAGTTTGGGGACTTGCACAGATACGATTTCCCACTTTATCTGCATCTGCTGAATGAGAAAGGGTGAGTTGTGTCTGTAACCCTCTGTAAGGCACCTCATCTCTAAAGCAGAAATAATTCTCTCACCACTAATTCTTCCCTACAGAGATTTCAATGAATCCATCGACGATTCTATAATTTTCATTTTTTAAAGGTTGGAAAATAAGGTGACTAAAAAAAAAGAACTGTTGAGCTTAGGGAAAAAGCTAAGGACTAACTCTGTGTATTTTTGCTTTGGTGTAAATTCTCTTCAGTCTTGGAATGCAGAATAATATACTAGTCAGGAGATGAACTCTAAGGATATATTGTTTGAAGTCAAACTCTGACTTCATCACACACTTCCTGTGAGACCTTGAGCAAGTTATTTAATCTCTTGATAACTCAATTTCTGGATCTGTTAAATGACAGCAATAACAGCATTTATTCTTCTGGATTTTTGCGAGAATTAAGTATGTTAGTACAAAGTACTTAGCATAATACCTAGCACACAATGAGGACTCAGTAAAGCTTTTATTTTACAGTCACTCAATTTATAATCCAAAGATCACGATATTGTTACCTTGATGGTATTATCATGGGCAGAAGGGTGATGGAGTGAGGTTGAAAGAGCCCTTTCTTAGAGACCTAATTTCCAGGCTCAGCTCTGCCACTTACTAACTGTATGACATTTGCTAAGCATCTTCCTAACTCTAATACTTGATTTTCTCAATGAGAGCCTTGAATGAAACAATGCTATTCAAATTTTAGCAGTGGAACCCTCTTTCTTCTTTTTTTTTTTTTTTAATTTTTATTTATTTATATTTCTCCCCCAAAGCACCAGTAGATAGTTGTATGTCATAGTTGCACATCCTTCTAGTTGCTGTATGTGGGATGCGGCCTCAGCATGGCCGGACAAGCGGTACATCCGTGCGCGCCCGGGATCTGAACCCGGGCCGCCAGCAGCCGAGCGCGCGCACTTAACTGCTAAGCCATGGGCTGGCCCTGGAACCCTCTTTCTAATGATACCTTTTTGGGGACTGCCAACATAGAAAACAGATAAAAATCATGTTGCTTCCTCCTGGCTATTCTTGCCCAAACCCTCTGAGATACCTCTGAGCAACCCTAAGGCTCCTAGGTGAGATCGCTAGATTATGATCTCTATGAATCCTTGATTTATGAATGACTTTCCCTTTCAAAAGTAAATCCAGTATAAATATTAACTAGTATTATTGTGGCGGTTGTTGATGATGGTGGTGGTGGAAGAAGGGCTACACTTGACATCCTGATTGGCCAGTTTACTTATGCATGCATTCAACAAATATTTTTTCCGGAGAGCCTACCTACATGCTCAGGCGTTGGACTAATGCCCGGTCACTTGAAGCCTGTCGTCATTCTAACACGAGGACAATAAATTCTCTACATGGCCCAGTTGCAGTCATAAGTTAGTAATGAACCTAACTCAGTGACAGGCCTCCGTGGGGACCAATCCCAATTCCAGGCTCCCACCACGGCCACTTTACTGACTGTTCTACAGCAAAACCAGTCTCTGCCAACTAGTTATTTCCTTTTTCAAGAATAGCATTGTAGGAGGTAAAACTGAGTAAATACCCTGAGTTGTCAACTAAGGAACTCCCTGAATGACTCAATCTGAGGAAAAGTCAAGCCTGGGTGCTCAAGATAGCCCTGGGTGCTGAAGAAATACCCCCTCCTGGGTAAATAATCCCATCTGGTTGCTTGTAAACATCAGGGAACTGAGAAGAGAAAGTCAATGACACCTTTGAGAGGGAGATTCTTAAGAGGGGACAGAAACCCCTTAGGCCATCATGGTGGTTGTCATTAGTAGGGAGAGATTTCTAGAGAGAAGATCATGGGTCCCAATTTCCAGCCATCCCTGCACACTTGGGGTTTCTCCCTTCACTTCCAACCTTGTAGGATTGGGTGGTGGTTTATTAAGAAAACCAGTGGGGTTTCCTTACAGATGCGTTCCCTCCCCAGATGTCATCTGTGCACTCCCCATGACTGCCATGTACTCTCCACCTACTTCTACATCGGTCTGTGCCCTTTCCAT